AGACATCTGCAGCTTGTTCTAACAATTGTGGTGCCTGGAATATCAGTTCTGGATAAACAAAGAGATGAGTAGTTTACTCTGGGACCCTAGGTCTGTTACAGATCCCTATCTAGCATCTCTAGACTAACAAACATCTCCATCCATTAACTCACATTTTAATCACAATGGGGCTGGAATATCTAGAGTCCTTAGACTAACAAGCATCTCTATCTATTAACTTACATTTTAATCCCAATGGGGCTGGAGAAAAAGGGGCAAAGGTTATGCAGTCCCACAGGCCCAAATGGATTTGAGCAGCCTGGTTCAGATGTTATTGCAATAACTAAACCAAATGACATATGGACTTCAGACTAGGATGGTGGTTCTAAAAGTGTTGTCTATGGTCCTGTTAGCATCCTGGGGATCCTTTCATGGGGCTAAAAATTATTTTCATAATAACACTAAGACATTATTTGCTCTTTAAGTCATTTTGATATTTTTAATGATGGTAAAAAATCCATAGTTCTCAAGATTGCCAAGGCTGAGATAATAAACTGTTGGTGGTCTCTCTAGAGGGAGACCTGAAATCTCGGAAAGCACCAACTTTTAAAGAAAGAAAAGGAGACAGCCTGGGAGACGAGCAGCAGTTTAATTCCTCTGATACTGTTCGACAATCACAAAGGAAAGAAGCAAGGCTTTTATACATGTAGGAAAGCAGCTTAGTTATTCTGGCTTTCTGATTTTAACCTCTGGTGACAAATGACTTTAAGTGACTCATAAAAGCTACAGCCAAATTCACAAGTCCCCTGTTTCTGTTCACCAATCCCGTACATCAAAGAGCACACGGTAGCCCTCTTCTTATCAGATAGTATCAAGAGAGCAGGATGACTTTAGCCAAAATCAAGCCCACCGGCCCACCACAAACATCACAGATGTGCATAGTGAGTCATATCTCTCTTACCACCCATAGAGTCATTGGGTCGCAGTCCTCTGATCCCAGAAAATGGTAAATAAGAGAACTAGGAAAACCTGTTTTTCTCCCCTGAGATTTTTACAATGTCTCTTAAAGTTTTCTGGCATTCTTTTAACAAACAGACTTGTGGAATTTCCCAGAAACTTAATTTTCTCAGTTAACAAACTTCTTGTGATCAATTCTTACAACTAGACAGCTGAATTCTACAATTTCCCACAATAAACTATGCTTATTATCATTAAATTCTTCATCTTAACATATTCTCAGTGAAAAACTGCAAGTTTTCCTTAAGGATATCCTTGATGAAGCAGAAACATCTATTAATTTTATTAACTCTGCTCCCTGAGAACACATCTTTTAAAATATTCTGTCTGATAAAGTGGTGAAACATTTTGCTGAAGCAGCTCAAAGTTGTTACCAGTTCCCCAGAGCAGAAGCTATTTTTCTCATGTAGTAGAAAGAGGTCAGATGCTCAAGGCTGCACAAGACCAAAGAGAGGGAGGCCTGAGAGTGGATGCTGTAAAACCCAAAGAGAGCAGATAAATCTAAAGTGGCAAATATAAATAGACCTGTGAGTAAAACTGTTGAGCTTCCTGGTCCTGCTTGTAATATGGGGTGGCCCTGGAAAGCTATTGCTGGGTGGGTATGAACAGTAGGATGCCAGAGCAGGCTTATGA